TGCGGAGAGCCGGTCCCGGCGCACCTCGAGCCGGGCGTCCCACCGGCACGGCGGGGACTGGGGGCTCGGCCAGGGCCCCGCTCCGGGGCTGCCGCTCCTCCCGTCCTCCCACCTGGCGTCTCCAGGGACGCGGGTCGGCAGAGCGGCGCTCAGCAGCCTCCCAGCCCAGCCGGGGCCCCCTGCACCAGCCTCTGCTCCGGAGGAAAGCACGGGCTGAGGGCAGAGCAGCCGGGGAGCCTCCCGAGCCGCTCCTCCTGCCGGGACTCATGGCGGGAGCCGCTGCGGGGCCCCCTCTGGACGCCGCACGGCTGCCCTGGGCCTCGCTTCTCCCTTCCCCATTCCAGGCCCAGCTCCCATCCGCGCAGGAAACACCTTTTTCCTGTGCATGGGGCTGCAGCACGGGGTTTTCAGCAGGGGAAAATGAAAAAACCCTCCCGCTTTGGTGGGATATTTATAACCTGCAGCGTCCCGGGCTGAACCCGCCGACCCCCTCCACTGCAGCCCCGTCTCTGCATGCCAGGAAACCTGGTCAGCGYGAGGAGGAGCCCTGAATCCTGCCCGCGGGACCTCATCCCGCTCCTGCACTGCTCCCAGCGTGACCCAACCTGGCACGGGTCCCCTCGGGCCCCCCAGATCTGAGCCAGGGSTAACACTGGGTGGCCCTAAACACTCCCCCTCTCCCAGCCCTCCTTCTCCGATGAATGACCCAGGAATGGGTGTATTGAGGGGAGCAGGTGGATTGAGGAGAGGAGTGGGTGGATTGGGGAGGTCATCGGCGCAAACGCAGAGCGGGGGAAATTGAGGCACAATTGGGACAAGTCCCAATGAGTGGAATGGGGGGTAGAAGTAGGTTCCTCACCTGCTTAGGAGGATTTGGGGACCCCCCGTCCCAGGCACCTGCCCYGCTCCGGGCGCAGATCCGCGTCCCTGCGCAGCGCCGCACAGCGGAGCCGGCCGCGCGGGCAGAGCGGGCAGCGCCGGGCGGCCCGCGGGCAGCGCCGGGCTCTGCCGCGGCACGGCCGTTACTCAGCAGCCGCAAAATGACTCAGCCGCCGGGACGGGGCTCGGCCGCGGAGCGAGGCCAGCGGGCCGGGCCAAGCGCAACAAGCCGGAGCATCCGGGATTTCCTGCCTCAGCTTTTCCCCCCGCTGCAAAATGGGGCTAAAGTTCCGCGCGGGGGCTGACGCAGACACCAGGACGTGGAGGGCTCCCAATGTCCCCATTCCATGCAGGATGAGGCCGGGCTGCCTGGGCGCATCTCCCCAAGCGGCACCGGGGCCCGAAGCGCCGGGGCCGAGCAGCACCGCGGGGCAGCCCCTGCGCTCGCGCCTCTGCCGGCCGGCCCCGCGGGGACACGGCGCTGCGGGAACAGGCAGCCGACACACCCAGCAGCGCTCCGGCTTCCTGGCTTTCCTCCCAGCTGTATTTTTCCTAGGTGAAATGCAGGAAAACAAGCGCTGCGACGTGCATGCCCCCCGCCTCCAGCTTCCCAGCACCAGGACGCACACACAGGGTGGCACAAAGCACATTTTCCACCCAAAACCAGCTCCTCGGGAAAGACACACTGGTTTCAGCAGCCCTCGGAGGGGCAACGCAGTCTCGGTGTGACCTGCCACAGCTCCTGTGCCTCAGTTTCCCCAGTTGCCCTTTGTCTGCGCTGCCTCCCTCCCGGGGGTGGAGGCTCCCCAGTCTCCCCAGTTCAGCTGGGGTTGGATCTCAGCTGGCGGCTTCCACGGCTGGGAGGTGCCGGGGGCACCGACCCGGCATCGCCCTGGCTGGGCTCATCCCTTCACCCGGCCCAGGACAGGGGTCCAGACCCCACGTGGAGCCCCGGGCAGCAGCACAGCGTGGGGCCAGTGCCCACAGGCGAGCGGGACCCGCGAGACAGCCCAGGGAACACCTGGACACGGAAACTTTCTCCCGGTTTGGATCCGAGGCTGCCGGTGACCTGGGCACAGCTTGTGTCAAGGCAAACAGGGGACCCCACGGAGAGGTGGGGACCCCGGGACRCAGACACGCGTGGGCAGCAGCTGCCGCGACGCCGCCGCGCGCCGACCCGCGCGCACCCCCGTGGCCAGCGGGATGCTCCCGCCGCCTCCCCCCGCATCCGCCCGGCATCCCGCTCGCTCCCCCTTCCCGGGCRGCTCCGGCGCGCAGCAGGGACAGGAGCCACTCACCGCTATGGCCCGCTCATCGCCCGGGCCGCCTGCAGCGCCACAGCGGGGCCGGGCCGCCCGGGTGCCGCCGCCGGCAGCGGGCGCCGCCGGAGCCGCTTTCACAATGGGAACAGCAGCATTTGAACAAAGTGCCTGTCCCCGGGGACCGGCGGYGGGGAGGAGTCACGCAGGCCCGGGCCCCCCTCGCGCCCGGCGCTGCCGGGAAGGTGCCGCTGGGCCGCCCTGGTGCCCCATGGCCGGTGCCTGGCGCTCAGCCCCGTCTGCCTCCCGTGCTCGCAGTGCCGGAGCCTCCCGCGGCCGCAGGAAATCTCTCCCCGCCGCTGGCTTCCTCGGGCCGCCCCGGCCCCGCCAATTGTTTGGTGACGGGGCCTGTGGCAGAGCCGCAGCCGGAGCCACCGGAGGCATCGGGGTCGAGCCGCGAAGCCCGGGCACGCGGGGAGCAACRAGGCCAGAGGGGCAGGGGGAGACCYGGCTGCCCAGGGGACAGGGCAGATCCGGACAGCTCCAAAGGGACGGGGTCCTCCTTGCTGGCTGAGCCACAGCTGGGACTCCGTGTCACCTCCTGGGTGATGCTGCCTTGGGGCCATCGTGAGCGGCCTCACAGCTCCGCTGACGAAACCTCCCCGCCATGGGGACCTCCTGCTGCCCCGGGACAYGGTGCTGCCCCATGTCATCCTGGGGGCCCTTTCCTCGCCTCACCGCCCTGCATCCTGCCGCACTGCCCCCCACCCTGAGGCTGCCCCACACCCTCACCCTGCCCCACACTGCCCTGTGCCGCCCCATGGGCTCCCCACACCTTGCCCAGCACCCTGCCACCCACCACCCCATGCCCTCTCCCCTCCTTTCCCCTCCTCTCCAGCCCTGCTACCCCCACGCTGCTCCACTCACTGCCCAGCACCGTGGCCTCCCTGTCCC